GAATTATTTTGTTAGCTAAATTTTTTTCGTTTGTTTTTTGTTCAAGTTACATGAATTGCTCGATATATTTGTCACATGATGTTCGAAACTTTTTTGGGTGGCTATTTTGCCCCGGTCTTCCCACCCTAACTGTAATACAGTACATTATCGGTGCCACATTATTCATATGATTTAAAATAAAAGATTCCTATTGGTCAAAGATTCCTATTGGTCGGCATTATTAAAAAAATTAAAATTTTCAATCTCCACCTAACTGACACGGCCGGGATATGAGAACCGATTATATAAGTTTGTATGGCCTAACATATTTATCTTTAGTAAAAATTTCAATTAATATCTATATTAATAAAATGGCTATATAGAAAATAATTTTATATAGATTTTATATAATTAGTTTTTAAAAAAATGTGATAGTAATTATAAACCAATTGTGCTTATATAGAGGCATAATTTAATATAAAAAAGGTTAGTAAAAATATATTTGATTTTGTGACTATAGAGAAGGTAAGTATAGAGAGGTTTGACTGTATAAGGAACACCTGCTCTAAATCAATTCGATTCAATTTTATTAACAGTATTTCTTATACTATATTTGAACCCTTTTGTTACAGAAGGCAGGATGTTGTTTTCGCGCAAAGTGGGAAGTATATTATGGTCTGGATATTCAAATCCCATCATAATATGCGTTGGTAGCTCCTCCATTAATTAGTTGTTATCAAGCAACTACGGTTACAGAAGGCAAGATGTTTTTTTGCACGAAGTGAGAAGTATGCCATGGTCAGGTCCCACCATAACATGCGTGAGTCATAATCAACTGAGTTATTTGTCTTATAATACCATCTCTTTTCTTTGTTTATTGGAGAGTTGTACCAGTATTGTATAAAACTTATTGATTCTAGTAAATTTTATATATGTATAATTTTTTTTTTGATTATACATAATAATAAATTGCTTGATTATAATAAAATATTTTGAAATAAAACTATATGTACGAATATCAAGATTCTTTAGCTAAGAAAGGATCAGCACCACCACTTTTAGCTATTAACTCTCCGGGCATAGTTTTTAATATTTCTGGTGCAATAGTAGGAAATGGTGGTGGTAAATAATCCTGTGGAAAACATTTTGCTCCCTGTTTCTTAATAGCGTCTTTAATTCTAATAAATTGACCTTTATATCCTGGTACAGGTCCTTTAACATATATTAAATTTAAGACGTTATCAATTTTGAGAATTTTGGTGCTTACAGTTACATTCTTTCCTCCCATTCTACCTGCCATTTTTTTGCCTTTAAAAACTCTACCGGGACTCTATTAACATATATTAGTAAAATAAATCGTGGTTGAAAATGATGTAAAACTTGCGTGGATATACCTGATTTTGACCTGTAGAACCAGCTGATCGATGAGTCTTTGAAGTCCCATGTGATGCAGGCAGACCTTTGAAACCCCATCGTTTCATAACACCTGCAAAACCTTTACCAATTCTAAAGAAATTTATAAATTAAGAACTAATTAATTTAAGGATCAATAATTTAAATAAATTTAAATCTTACGATGGTGCTTGTAAATCTACATATTGTCCTGGAACAAAATGGGCTGCCTTAATTTCACTGCCTTATAAAGAAAGTTTTTTTAAGTAATTATAAATGAATCCTTTTCCGAACCATTATCGTAAATCATAAATTTATTTAAAATTCTCACCAACTGGTAAAACAGCATCGGACGTAACGTGAAAATCACATAATTTCCATTTTGGCGACACACCTGCGGCTTTAAAATGACCTAATAAAGGTCTAGATACATTTTTTTCTTTATCCGAGCATCCAATTTGAACCGATATCAAATGTGGTTTAACGAATTTTTTGTTCTCAACGATCTGTACTACCTGAACGTCTTCCAACTTTTTTTTTTTTATAATAAAAAAAAAAAGATTTAAAAAATTTCTTTCAAATTTATAGAATTTATACTTACCTGTAGAACAGTACACGGTTGCCTAACACCCCATTCATTCCATAAAGCAGTCATTCCCTTTTTTCTAGCGATTGCACCTAACCTAATTGAATTCTCTGTCCATTGCGACTTTTGTTCCAATTGCAATTTCCATTTATCAATAACCTCTGTTGGTTTTTCTCGCGGATAGTATTTTGATAACACTGACCCTCGACGTTGATATCTTGTCGTATCAACCCGTGCTGGTGTTTTTAAAAAACTCCAGTCTTTCTCGTCTTTTGCTTCTACTTCATACCTGTTATATGTTTGAGGAAGCTTTGGAAATTTTGAAGAAAGAATTGAGTCTTTGTATTTTTGATATTTTGATGAATTTACGAATTGTGGAGAAGTATGTACTGATTTAACAGATTTAAAGTTAATTGAAAGAGAAATATGTTTCGAAATAAATAGAAAACGAGATGTGAAATTTAGATGGTTGAATGAAGGCGATAACATAACGATATATGTTTGGGGAAGCTTTGGAAATTTTGAAGAAAGAATTGAGTCTTTGTATTTTTGATATTTTGATGAATTTACGAATTGTGGAGAAGTATGTACTGATTTAACAGATTTAAAGTTAATTGAAAGAGAAATATGTTTCGAAATAAATAGAAAACGAGATGTGAAATTTAGAAGGCGATAACATAATCTGAACGCAATAAATCTGCCCAGATTTTGTCAATCATTTCCCAGATGAGAAAAGATCGTTTGATTAAAACTATCATAATAATCAACCAATTGATTCGTAAAATTTTGTTTTAATTAATAAATTGGATTTAAAAAAAATATATCAATAGTTACAAAACATGTTTTATGGTACAGATGTAGTGATTTGACCCGTCTAAAAAATCACCACCGGGTCACCCGACGGGTGGGCCATATGTCACCCGGGTGAAACCCGATTCAACTAAGAAAATAGTACCCTAGCCATGTGACGGCCATTGTTAGATTCTACTCGAACATGACGTCCCTGTAATTTTGACCAATTTTAATTAGGAAACCACCTTCTGCGGCCTAATTAAAATGCTCCTCGTGATGTTTTACTAATAACCATTATATTGTTCTAATCCTAACCCTAATTATAACACGGTTTTCTTGGTTTTCATTTTACGCGTAACTTTTTAACTTAGAAAACAAAACACGCTTGTTTTGACACCTGATCTTAAATTTTGATTGTTCAAAATTACTGGGGAACGCTACCTAAAAATCTCGAACATCGTGTTCTGATTGGACAAAATCGCGATGATATCTTAGTAACTACTTAATTGAGGAAGATTTTTTTAATTCTATAAAAATTCATAGAATTAAAATACAAAAATTTTTTGTCAATTTTAGGTACGTAGATAGTTATCGAGATATCATCGCTCAAAGTTTAACAAAAATTTGTGCGATTATCAAAAAGGTTTGTTTTAATTTTGAGTGGTGATAGATATCTCGATAACTACCTACCTAAATCGATAAAAAAAAATATTTGTATTTTGATTTTATGAGATCATAGAATTAAAAAAATTTTTATCGATTTTAGGTAGGTAGCTATCGAGATATTCTCAAAACTGAGGTTGGGCCAAGTTTTTTCCTAATAAAATTATTAAGCAGAAAGCATGAAATCAGTTCAAGAAAAATTATATAAAAAAAAACTAGGTTGTTTTAATTATGAAAACTCATATATGGTCATTAAAGATTATTAAAAATTAGTAAACTTAAAACATCAGTGCTTTATGATGCATTGTATATTTTTATTTTTTTCTATGTACAGTATATAGGATCTATACTATCTACAGATCATTTTGACAAACTAGCGATTAATTAAAATAATTTAGTATATATTATATGAAATCTAAAAATCAAAACCAAATAAATTTTTGCATTTTTAATAAATTTAAAGGCTGATAGTGTGCATAACAGATAAAAATTTGTATCAGTATAATAAAAATAAATTGATCATATTTATCAATGAAACAACAACATTATAAAATTATTTTAAGCATTTTAATCGAATTAAGTTTATATCCGCTAACATAGAACAACCCTATATTAAATCTATATAGTTAGATAATTCATAATTTTATAATTAATAGTTTTCTATCAATTGGATTATGTAAATTCACCGGTATAATAGCATATATGATTAGCTCAAAGCTCAATACAATAAAATTTCATTAGAAAAAATATTAGGTAAAAAGAGCCAACAAAAACACAATTAAAAGTCCAATTATAATCTAAAAGCAATGCTGAGGACATTGTAAGCAAATAGACATTGGTGATGGTGGTGGAGATTGTGACAATGGTGTTGGCGATGATGACAGTTCGGAAACCTATGAATATAAAAGTTAAATACCATAATCTATAAAAAGATACGGCAATTTGTTTATACTTACAGGCTTATTAGTGTGTCATTTTCTTGGCGGGGAACCCACATAATAGTTGAGCCGTTTCAGATTTCGAAGATTCCTTCTAGTAATTTGGTGTTGGGAGCCCTGGGAGTCAGAACCAGAAAAACCACCACGTGAAATCTGACCAGAGTCAGAACTAGAACCAAAAAAATCACCACGGGAAATTTGACCAGATTCAGAAAATGGTTGAGATTGTTTAGTTCGTTTGTCCTGCTGGATATTAATACATGTTTGACTTTTTCTTTTAAAACAGCGATTTGCATATATTGCTTTATGCTCATTATTGCTTCTGTGCTGCTGACAATAATCGTTGTGACATTGATCGTCTTGATAATAGTTGCCTTGATGCTGGTTAAATTGATGGCCTTGACTGTTTTGTTCACCTTGATATTGAACATCATGATACTGTTCACCTTGATCTTGAACATACTGATCACCTTGACATTGGACATCCTGATGCTGATCACCTTGATTTTGGACATCCCGATGCTCCTGATACTGTTCACCTTGATCTTGGACACCTGATAATGATCATCTTGACCTTGATATTGGACATCCCGATGCTCCTGATACTGTTCACCTTGATCTCGGACACCCTGATAATGATCATCTTGACTTCGATATTGGACATCCTGATGCTCTTGATACTGTTCACCTTGATCTTGAACACCCTGATAATAATCACTTTGATCTTGATATTGGACATCCCGATGCTCCTGATACTGTTCACCTTGATCTTGGGCACCTTGATACTGATCACCTTGACCTTGATATTGGACATCCCGATGCCCCTGATACTGTTCACCTTGATCTTGGACACCCTGGTGCTGATCATCTTGACATTGGACATCCTGATGCTGATCACCTTGACCTTGATTTTGAATATCCCAATGCTGATAGTATTGAAAATTATGATCCTCTTCAGTACTTGATAAATCTGGTACATTATTCTACAGTATAATTTAACTAATTAATTTCATTCAATTATATTAAAAAATTAATATATAAATTAAATTTTTTTACCTAAGCCTTAGCTTTATCCTTTCTTCGTTGAATTCTCCAAGATTCATTGAAATTGTAATTATTTTCAGAATTATCATTTATTAAATCTTCTTCTGCATTATTATTCCATTTATTCAAAATTTCCACAAGTTTAACGTCCATTGTTTGTATGATATTATCGAAATTATTAAGAATTTGAAAAAGACATTCTCTGTTAGCTTTATATACCGAAAGGTCGCATCTCTGAAATAATATTGGATATTTTAATAATTTATAAATTTGATTCTAATCATAATTTTTGCTTACCAACTTGCATTCCTCTATAACATCTTTTCAATAATTTTTTAACATAGAACGTTCTATTTTTATCTGTTAAAAAAGAATTATCGGTAATTCTTAGCAACGTGCAATTTTTCTACTTAGTTACAAAGGTGCATACTGATTCCTATTTATAGAATTAGCAGACCTTTACCAATAACAAACTAGAGTACCCGAATACCCAAAGCTGGGGTGGCTACTAGCAATTGATAATTTGGTAATTTTTCTAGGTCAAACTAGGAACTCCTCAGCTTGACTAGAAGTTACTCTTATCTATCTAGTAACTATTTAAAAAATGCACCTTATTATTCAAATCATTGGAATTATCTATTTTTCTTACTTCATGTAAAAAACAGGATACCCAAGTATTGTCAAGGTTTTCGAAATTATCACAGTTTGAAGATAATAATGATGACTCAACAACATTTGTCAATGTCGAAATAAAAAGCCACTGTAAGATTTTATTTTTTTTTCTTGAAAATATGCTTTAAGACAATCAGAAATATAGTTTGTTGAAATAAAATTATGAGACATCATAAAGTTTATGAAAAAAATACATGTTTATAATTATTAAATAACCCTAGCATAGTGTTTTAGAGAGAACATTTTATACGTGACTACAATCTTGTGATATACCCCTAAGCATATGTAACATATACTTTTATGGCAATAAGATACATGCTTTCACATCAGTATATAACATATATTAAAAAATTACTATGCATGTAGCCCAATGTGGGTATAACAATACTTGTTTAGAAAGTCTACTTTTATCAGGTGATTTCGATTTACTAATAGCCCTACCTCTCTCCCCCCACCTGACTTATATTTTAACCAATCAAATTGCATAAAAATTTTTATAAAATTTTTAAATATAATAATTTTTAAAAATATTTAAAATTAAATAACTTTTGGTGATCCGATTTGGATGATTTTGGGCTTGTTAGAATGCTCTCTCTGAGAGAATCATTTTGGTAGTTAAATCATCCAAATCGGGCCAGTGAATCAAAAGTTATTTAATTTTTAAATATTATTATATACTGTATATATTATTATTATATTATATATATTATATTATATAATATATATGTATAATCTGACACTTGGCTTGACCCTCCCACCCTCTAAAAAATCAGGTGATAAAAGTAGTTCTCTTATACGTAAAGAAATTGTGTATATAGAATATTTTTCGATGAATTGAAGCTGTATTAATAGAACAGCATGGGTAATATAGGTGTAAAGATTTTTTAAAAATCATTTTTTAATGAATAAATAGGGTCAATATTTATATCTTTTTTTTTTCTTGGGAATAATTCGATAAATTTATAAATAATAAGCTTATCGAAAGGAGAACAATGTATTTTATTATGACTACATATGTATTAGAGAAATAACAATCATTGTTTTGGCGCAATGAAGAAATATTACCTTTTTTAAAAATTTGTATAGTGTCGCTTATAGAAAAAAATATAGCTGATGTTTATTTGCAATTAAATATGTTATGTATTAGAGAAACAACAATTATTGTTTTGGCGCGATGAAGAAATATTACCTTTTTTGAAAATTTGTATAGTGTCGCTCATAAAAAAAAATATAGCTGACGTTGTATTCGTAGTAACCACTCAACTTTATATACAATATATATATTTTATATTATAGTTATGAATTGATTATGTAGTAACCACCCAACTTTATATACAATATGTATATTTTATATTACAGTTATGAATCGATTACGTAGTAACTACTCAACTTAACTTTATGAATCGATTACATAGTAACTACTCAACTTAACTTTATGAATTGATTACGTAGTAACCACTCAACTTAACTTTATATACAATATGTATATTTTATATTATAGTTATGAATCGATTACATAGTAACCACTCAACTTAACTTTATATACAATATGAATATTTTATATTACAGTTATGAATCGATTACGTAGTAACTACTCAACTTTATATACATATGGTTACAAATCGATTATGTAGTAACCACTATTTACAAGCGATATCAGCTATAGTTTTTATAGGTGATGCTAGGTTTGCGAAAAAAAAATATTGGATACAAATTAATTGGTTCTCTTACCGCTATCAATTTGATCATGATATCAGATAGTTAAAAGAGAATATATGATAAAACTAGTATAAACCCACTATTTGTCTATAGAGATTAAGCCGATATATATATATAATTTGCTTTTCATATTAGTGTGACCCTGATAACTATTCATCACTCTGAAAATTAGCAAAATTTTCAAATTTTGGTGTTTTTCTTGCAAATAAATCTAATTATTTTGCTTGCAAATAAAAAATTTCTGAAGTTTCTCTTTAATTTTCATTTTGTATACTAGAATTGGCCATAGATTGGCCAAAGAATATTCAGAATTTTAGGCTTTTTTTAATACTAATTGCAAAGAAATAATAATTTGCAAAACAGCTTCTATGAAATCATAATTAGGTACATATCTACATTTAATTATAAAAAGCTCTGAACTTTTAAACTTCAAACGACCATACTGATATTGAAAATATATCATAATAGGGTGAAACTCCTACTGGAAATAGTAATTAATCCTAATTAAGTATAGATTTGCTTCAAGAAAGTTTTCATTAGATTATGAAAATTAAGAGTCGGAATAGACCGGAATTGATCATTTATCTCAAAATCACCTAACATTTTACTAATATAATAGTAGCCCATGTACTAAGTACAACTATCTAGATGATAATTTGGCTATAATATAGTTAGCTTATATTATTGCTTAATATCGACCTAGTTCTGAGCCTATTCTGATCCCAAATTTTGGTTATCTGCTAAATTTTGATTGTTTTATTAATCTATCTAAAGTTTTCATCTTTGCGTGAATTTTACTTTTTTATAATATTAACTATTAAAATTTAAACCTAATATTGGTTTAAAAATCTAAATTTAAAATTAACTATAATAAAACAGAAATGGGTTGTAAAAAACTTTTTCTATAAATATTTATATATCTTTATAGCTATTGGAAGTAATTTATTAAAAAAATATTTTTAAAAACTAAGTTTTAATTTTTTATAAAAGTAAAATATCTATTTTTAATAATCATAATTTTAAAATAAAATTTATTTGTATTTTAACTTTAAAATTTTAAAAAATTTTAAATTTATAATATATTTAAATTTTATTTATATTTATAATATATAGGACTTAATTAGGCATCGCAACTTGCGATGTGCTTATATATCACATTTTAGATGATTGACCAATCAAATTTCAAGATCAGGTATAACGTAGCATGATCAGGAAGATTCAAAACAAACGTTTGTTTTGGCAAAAGTTACTTATAACTCAAAATTTCATATATGAAACTATCTTTCGCGCACTAACAAAAAAAATT